GATGCTTATCTTACCACAACGTATGGATAATGTATGCCAAAACATACAGTAATTGTTTATTATAAAACAATTACACAAATTGCCATCAAAAGGTAAGCAAAGGAAAGAACTTTACAAATCTAGAGTAGATATAAAAGACACAACCTTGAAAAAAAAATATGGTTAATATTAGAAAAAAATTAACAATGTTAGTACTAGAAGCAAATATTATTTTTAGAGGTGTATCATCCTTTGGGTATTTGCATTGTATTTCTGTTAAAAATTGTACAACTTTGATCTTCTTAAGCTATATAATTTCTACTGAGACATGCTTGTGTTTCAGCCTCTTGAATAATGTATTTTTTTAGTTCTTTAAAGTTCTTTAAGTTAAAGTTAAAGTACTCTTCAAATAGTACTACTGGTTCTTCATTTTTTTAGGAGGAAACAGGTCTAGAAATAAATATATGAGGAGTCCTTCATTATCCAAACTAGGTAACATCATCAGGACTAGCACTGATTATGTTACCTAGTTTGGGTAATGAAACATCTGCAAGAAAACAACCAAGCTCAGAGAGCATCAAGGACCCCTCATTTCAACTCAGTGCTACAAATATTGTCCTTTATTTGTTATTAAATATATGCTTAATTTTGCTTCATTTTTAATTTACTCATGGAATTTCCCAGGTGGGAAGGAGTGATCCTTTGGAAAGTTTAATCTATTTTTTTTTTAAAGTACATACTCATTCCACTAGATAATCAAACATCATAAATTAACCTCAGGTCTGAAGGAAATTCATTCAGTTTTCTTAATTGATTTGGATGCCCTTTGTAAAAAAAAAAAAAAAGAAGTCATAAGAAACAAACAGCTCAGGTACTGAAACTATAAAACACAATAAACTTTCTGTAACAGTTAAAAGTCTACTTCTTAGCAAATGTGGAAACTGGAAGTTTTAAAAGAACAATACTGAAATTATAATTTTCTTTGGAGATGTTATCTACTAAAAGAAGAAGAAATGCAGTTGTGTAATGTTAAATAACAATTTAAGCCTTCTTCCTCATTTCATTTCGCAGCGTTCCTGCTTCTCACGGTAGACACTCAGATGCACCCGAGTGCTTTGCAACACAGACTGTAAGAAAGCATGTGCACCCCTCCCTCTTTTCCAGTTTTTTGACCAACCCATTGCTACATCCACATTTGGAACTGATCAGAAATGAAGAATTAATACTGTAATTCTTTTAGAGAAAAGTTCAAGAAACCTGACCAAAGATCATGGCTTCAGGGTGCAATGCCAAATCCAGTTTCACTAAACAGCATGTTCAAACCCTCTCCTTTGATACAGTTTTGTTTCATAAATATTTCATAATTTAATGCAGGATCTGATTCGATGTGCTGAGGAACTCTAGCTAATCCACCAAGTAGAAACAGATGGGATCATTGTGCAGGATTTGGCTTTTTCTACAGAAGTGAAATAACAACACTGTTATGCAAGACAATAAACATTTAGTTGCAACAGTCATCACAAGAATTTCTTTTCTGGGATTAGCTACATAGCAATAGCACTTAGACTTATATACCACTTTTACAGCCCTCTCTAAGCGGTTTACATAGTCAGTGTATTGCCCCCAACAATTTGGGTCCTCATTTTACCCACCTCAGAAGGATGGAAGGCTGAGTCAACCTTGATCCTGGTGAGATTTAAACTGGCAAATTGTAGGCAGCCGGCAGCCGGCAGTCAGCAGAAATAGTCTGCAGTATTGTACTCTAACCACTGCACCACTGTGACTCATAAGGACCAAAACAGCCTCTCTTAAGCCTGTTATTGTCCAGTTGACCACAGTTCTTATCATCTAGAGGTATTGAGGACAAATGAATCATGGAGTCAGTCATCCAAACTATCTTGAGAAGTCCATAGCTGAGACAGCTGAACAAGATTACTGCAACTTCTATCGATTTGCTAAATTCCAAGAATTAACTTTCTCCACAGGAAGGAACTGAAAATACACAAAAATAGGCTGCCAGATCCTTTTGATGGAAAATAATTGTGCATATTATTTTATTTAAAGTCTTTACCCACAGCCACATAAATACACACCAAACAGATGGGTGGCACTGTCAGTTTTGACATTGCTGCAATAGACAATTCAGGAATAAATTTTAGGTTTATGGAGAAGAGGACATTAATTCTTTTCTTCTTGCCACATGTCATGTGATTCCTCCCTTCTTTCTATCCCCACCTCCCATTCATACGGTAGCTGCTATCAGCCCCCGAGGCAAAGCTCCTCTTGGCATTATGGGACGTTTATACTTAAGAGTAAGGATAAGGTTGGCATACAGTTTTGATTAGATTTATACTAGGCAAGCAGCTTAAAGAATGACTTTTTACAATGGCTCAGTGAACCTGTAAATATAAGGACCAATATACTGAAGAAAAACCAATCTATGCTGGGATGCAATTAGCAGGGTATGCAGGGTATTTATTTTTGCTTTGAGTCTACTATACAAAAGCAATTTTAAATCTCCATCCCAGACTGACCTAAATGTGTGGAAGTCATAAGTCATGACCAGGTGATTGCAGATTCTTGAAGGTTAACAGCAGACAAAAAATGGTTACTGAAACTTTTGTAAGTCAAGGACTAGCAATAGCACTTAGACTTATATACCTCTTTACAGCACTTCACAGCCCTCTCTAGGTGGTTTACAGAGTCAGCATATTGCCCCCAACAATTTGGGTGCTCATTGGACTCACCTCAGAAGGAAGGAAGGCTGAGTCAATCTTGAGCCGGGTGAGATTTGAACTGCCAAATTGCAGGCAGCCGGCAGTCAGCAGAAGTAGCCTGCAGTACTGCATTCTAACCACTTCATACTATTTCATACTATACATTCTCCTATTGACTACACAAAGGAGTTCCAAAAGAATAATCTGTCTGCTATACCATCTAGGTCAGGGTTTTCGAACTGGTGGCTGCAGGCCGGATGCGTCCTGCGCAGGCCATCCCCACCCCAACTCCGCAAAGGGGAAAAACGTCATGTAACGGCAACATGACGTCGCAAGTTTGACATCCGTGATCCAGGTCTTTATATCCTTGATCTTAAATATTCTCTCACGATTGATAAAAATATATTTATTAGATATTAATAAATAATAAGCCACTGTTCCTATAGTGTAGGAGAATATTTGAGGCATCCCACAATTATCTCTAATTGGATCAACTTAAATAGCTACGCAGGTGTTCAAATTTTGTGGGAAATTCCATCACCATTCCCTAATTCATACAACAGTGTATTAAGTAAGTTAGAGGGCATGATATGAGTCATCAAGATTTCTAATAATGTTGTGGGTGCCACAGATGAACAGAGCTTCAGCCTGTGAGTAAAAGAGAAATGCAGAGTCAGAGGGAAAGGCAGCTGTCCTATTCATAACCTTCATCCTCTGCCAGTAAATGCCTGACAATTAGGAGGAGTAAAATAACAAGGTGTTTTACCTCCAGCTTCCTCCACCACTCTAAAAGTAGCCAGAAAATATGGAAGGCACAAATTGATTTTTAGGGCATAAATATATCTGGACTTAATTTTCTCATCTGAACTATACCCACCCTTTTCTAAAAACACCATGTAACTTATCCTTCTTCAACCTGCTGGTTGTCTTGGCTATAGTTCCCATTATCCCCAACTAGCATGGTAACAGGAAATAATACACCCTGGAATGCAACCCATCTGGTGAGAGAATCAGGGCAGGGAAAGCCAATGAGAGGTTTTAAAGTCAGCACAGAGTTCTGGTTGCAGAGAATTTTGGCCTACCATCCTGTTGATCACCTGCTGGTGGGTTTTAGAGCCATATATCCTTCCACAGCTATATTGCCCAAGAAAGAAGAAAGAATACTAAGGTTATTAGACGACAAGAATCTAGTATGTATTAATAAAAGAGAATATATGTAGCTCAGGGTTAAAATGAGGGGTCCTGGGTGTTCTCTCTCTCTTTTTTTTTAATTTGATTTATATGCCGCCCTTCTCCGGAGACTCAGGGCGGCTTACAATGCGTTAAGCAATAGCCTTCATACTTTTGTATATTTATACAAAGTCAGCTTATTGCCCCCACAAACTGGGTCCTCAATTTACCTACCTTAGAAAGGATGGAAGGCTGAGTCAACCTTGAGCCTGGGGAGATTCGAACTTACAGTAATTGCACAGCTGGTGTTAATCACAATGCTATCAATCTGCTAAGCCACCAGCAGTTGGGTGGTGGCTCTGAGTTGGGTTGTTTTCTTGAGACGTTTCATTACACAAACTAGGTAACATCATCAGGGCTTATTGATGATGATGTTACCTAGTTTGTGTAATGAAACATTTGCAGGAAAACAACCCAGCTCAGAGAGCACCAAGGAGCCCCCTAGTATTTATTGGATGCCTGGTGCAGAAAGAAAGAGGGGGGTGTGTGTGGTGGTGGTTTGAATAGAGGATGTGGCTTTTAACTGAAAGGTTTGATTTTCTGCAGAGGAAAATAACTGATCTTTGGGTGACCAAGTACACCTTCAAGAGAAAACCACTCAGGATAGACACATAATGGTCTTTCCAACATGTAACCACCGCCATTTTAAAAAAAAACAGTCAACCTACACAGTCCAAATCAGTTGGAGGTGCAAGGCAAGTCTGCTATTCCTGCTCAAGGAGAAGTGAGTAAGCAAGCGTGAGTAGAAAAGCGGCTATTCCTGTAGCTGCACGCTTTTGCCCTCAGCTTTTCCTTTCCTTTTTCGGCGGACAAACGGTTTGGCAACGGACCTGCCCTCTCCATATTTGGGACGGTGAAGTGGGGGGGGGGGTGTCCAAGCTTTACTGTTGAAGTGTCGGAGTGGAGGAACCGAAGAAAGGCGCCCGCCCGGAGTTAACATCTGCCTCTTCGCCTCGCGCTCTTCTGCTGGCCCTCAAAAACGCGCGGAAGGGCGAAGGGTTTTTTTCCCCCCCTCCTTTGCTAAAATGCTAATTTGTTTCCAGGCTCCCCGGAGATGTAATCTCCCTCGAGTGACCGCCGCTCGACTTGTCCCCGGAGACAAGAGAAGCCGGGACTGATGATTGGAAATTCCACACTTTCCGGGAAATTTCACCAGAGGGTCATTTCGGGCAAGGCGGAGTTTCCAAACCTTTTACACCCCACCCCCTCAGGGTTTCGCCTCCCCGCCTCCTCCCTGTGAATATAAGCCTGAGCATTGGCAAATTCTGGCAAAAGTAGAGCGCGTGTATCATCAGCCCGCCGTGGAGAAAGACGGTTCGCCTGCCGCCTCTGACTTCCAGACACCGAGTAAGTCGTCTCCGACGCGCTTCTTTTCGCCGTCTGACCCCTCGCGCTGACTTACTCAATTCGGTTAAAAAGATCTAGCCCTCGGATTGTGTTTGCGCCACCTATTCTAATCTTGGTTACTTTTCACCTTGGTGGTATTATTATTGTTGTTGTTGTTGTTGTTGTTGTTATTTAATCTTTGGTGAGATTCACAGCCTTTGAGGCTGGTTAATAGCTCAGCAGCTGGAATCCTAACCAAGGAAGGACCTAAGAACTGTTAAGGTATCGTCGGAGGATGTAAGCTGTTCCGAGTAAAGTGGTTTTTTGTACAGTCAAAATGTTCAAGTCCGGCAAATTTAGAATTTCTAAATAGCGGGGTAGCCCTTTGGGTATTGCTCCAAGGGCTCCAATTACAATCGGGACAACACACGATTTCTTTTTCCACAGTCGCTCAACTTCAATTTGCAAGTCCCGGTACTTTGTGATTTTTTCTTGCTGCTTATCTTCAATCTGTGCATCACCAGGTATTGCAATGTCAATGAACCGTACTTTTTTCTTTTCAACTATTGTTATGTCAGGTGTGTTGTGGACCAAGTCCCTGTCAGTCTGAATCCTGAAGTCCCACAAGATCTTGAGTTTCTCATTCTCTAAAACTTTCTCAATCTGATGTTCCCAGTGGTTTTGGCTGTACTCAAATCCAAACTTCTGGCATAATTTCCAGTGAATGATCTTAACAACGCGGTCATGGCGTTGTAGGTAGTCAGTTTGTGAAATTTTGCTGCATCCACTGATCAGGTTGTTGTTGTTGTTGTTATTATGCAATGGAAAGTGGTGGATCTCGCTCAAGTTTTCGCACCCACCCACCCCAATCTGGTTTATTGTCGCCTTTTGCTTTCTATGTCTGCTGCCCTTTTCCTTCTTGGAATTGCTCAAGAGAGGGCAAAGTAAACATCATACATGGGTTTTGGCAACAGCAAATTCTTTATGTACAGTAATAGACTTTCCGGGAAGATTCGCCTAGCCTCCTCCCTGTCTTCTGTCTGGGCCCAGTGTTTCTCTTTGGAAAAACTACAAGCCACGGGAATTGACTTCCAGGAGCTTCTCGGTTGACTTCAATTGACTTCAATTGACTTCAATTGACTTCAATTGACTTCAATTGACTTCAATTGACTTCAATTGACTTCAGTTGAAAATAAGGCCTCCCGGATTTAGGGGAGCCCCTGGTAATCTATTAAGTGCATTATGGCAACTATGGCCAGGGAATTCCCATGGCCAGGAATTTACAGAATTGGAAACCACATGCTAAAAAAACTATAAAACTTAGACTTTTGTGCAAATCCAGCTATTGGTGGCTTGTAAACTATGACTTATGGGTCGCCTTTTCTAATCTGATGATTTCCAGATGTGTTGAAATAGCAATTTCCAATGTTATAATTTTATGAATATCCCACACATTCAGTAGAAAGACTTGCTTAATATAACATGCATTCTGCCATGTATGGCTTATTCAGTCTAACAGTTTAACAAACCACGGTTTAAAACGTTTGAACAAAACTGCAGTATTTCAGTGATGATTAAAAAGTGAGGCAAGTCAATATTAGTGGTTTTTAAATTTGACTCAACCAACAGGTGTACAATATTCTGAATCATAGGTACACCATGTATTCAGGTCTTATATTACATATTTTATTTATACATGACAAGAAAGCCTAAATTTGTGGTGTGTTTAGGACTTTAACCAAACCAGGCTGGCTAGTTGAATTGTCTCATAATAAACCAGGATCTGAAAACAAGATTTGGCTTGAAGGAGAATAATCTGTCAAGAGATCGTGGTTTGATTAAAACACTAGAGGCAAACCATGGAAGCAAGTTTTTCTTCTTCTAGTAAAGGTTATGGAAGGATGGGGCAGCTGTTGGGGTGTAGAAAGAAATCTGCTTATCACAGAATTTCATCTGTCTCCAAATATCCTCCAACATTAGCAGCCCAAAGAAACCACAGAATTCCAACTTCCATGGGCAGTGATCCAATCAAGCAAGTGTGCCAAGCCATAGAACACAGATGGGCCTGAAGATAAAAGGTCATCTTTAGGACTAGAGGTTTTTTTTAGATTCTTTCAGGAGGCTTGAAATGCCAGGTTTATTTCTTTTCATTTTAAAAATGTACATTTTCTTCTGAAATAGGGTGAAATAAAACTTTCATTTGTGACTAAAATTACATCATATTCATAACCCAAAGTGCAGAGAGTCAGCTTTATGCAGTCTTCCTTAACTGATGATGTTTCAAGCAATTCCGTTTATATTGTTTGATGAAAAGCATTCAAACCACAGAACAATACTGTAGTTTAGTTGAAATTAGTGAAATTTATGAAAGTACTTACTTATTTGATTGGAATGTGTTCAAGTAAAGACTTTTGTTCTAGTGTCAAATGCTTTTTCATTTTCTTAAATACCCCTCCTTTTATTTTTGCAAGCAACATGCTAAAACTGGATATTAAAATAGAATTAATAAAACTGATTTGATGCATTTTCATTGTTTATATTTTGAACAGATTTTTACTTACACCTAATGTTTTTCACTTATGACCATTTGCTTAATGACCATTCATATTAACAGTTGTCCCATAAAGGGTGCTTTATGACTTGTAAAGCACCTCTGACCATCACAAAACATTGCACCAAACCCTCCCAGACACATGATCAGAGTGCTAGGCAACCTGTTCACATTTATTTGCCAAGGTCCCTATGAATATGTGATTGCCATTTGCACCCCTTCCTTAGAAAGAGCTGTTGCTGGCAGTTAAGAGTATGTCCTGTCATTTCTCGGGCTGGTTGATTGTCCTTGAGGTTGAAGGATTTTAGCTCTGTCCTTGCTTGCACAGAGCTGAAATCCTTCAGCAGAGAATCAGCTTCGTCTAGTGCCGTGATGGCAAACCTATGGCACATGTGCCACAGATGGCATGCAGCTCCCTCTGTGGGCACGCGAGCCATCGCCCCAGTTCAGCTGTCCTGCCAGCTAGCTGGTCATCAGGTCTCTGTCACACATGCGTGGGTGGGTGTGCAGGGGGGCCATGCGTGGGGCGCATGCACAGGGGTGGGGCACGTGCGGGGGTGCACACGCATGCTTGGGGGCAGGGTACGTGCAGGGGCTGCGCACACGTGAGGAGGTGGGGCGCATGCGGGGAGGGCACGTGCACTTTGGACACTCGGTTGGAAAACCACTGGTCTAGTGGTTAAGGCACCAGGCTAGAAACTGCTGACACACTGTGAATTCTAGTCCCATTGTGTGCATGAAAGCCAGTTGAGTCATAGCCAGTTCTGTCACTATCTCTCCATTCAACCCACCTCGGGGTGGTTATTGAGGAAAAATAGGAGGATGGAATGTTAGGTATGATGAAAACTAGGATGAAAAATAAATTTGTAGTCTTTTAAAACTAATTAAATTGAACAAATTTTGAAAGTATATATTCTTTTTGGAACAGCATTCCCCAACCTTTCCAGCTTTGCGGACCGGCATGGGACCGAGGGGATGGTTGGGCATGAGCTGCGTGCCGGTTCTGAACAGGCCATGGCCCCAGGAGTTGGGGACCCGGTCTTAGAATGTATAGATGTGATGTGGGGGGAAATGCAATTCATTGGGATGGATTGACAATCCAGTGTTTAATCGTAATGGCTTTTAATATAAACCATGATGTTATCCAGATGTTTTAACTTCAGTTTCAATCAGTTCCAGGTAGCATATCAATGGCAAGGAATAGTTCACACTATAATCCAAAGAAGGCACCATTGTTTAGGCACTTTGCTCTGAAGGACTTTTTTAAAATGTCTGCATTTATAATTCTGGAGTGTAGTTTGGGAAAGGAAACAGTTCACATCATGTGTACTTTCCCCATAATTCTTAAGTAGCATTTTAAACTTGGAAAATTATAGAGCCATTGTTTCTAAAATGCAATTAGAGCTGGATTATGGTTGTATTCCTCCCTTGAGAGACTTGCTGTCAATATTTTCCTTTTTCCTTTAAAAGAAAAATAAACAGTGGTGGCTACTGCTCATGTATTTTTCAGTCATTATTTTGCTTTAGGTCGCTATACATTTTCTCTGCCTTATGGGGAAATTTTGCCTTGTAGTCTTATCAGTTGTGCATGGATTTAGAAAGGGAAAACATAAATCTTTTGCATAGATAATTGAGACTACACGGACATTCTCCTTGCATTGTCTGTAGTGGAGGTGGACCAAAGTCAGCATTATTTACCAGAATTAGCTATAGTCACCTGCAAAAGTCTTTTATCAGCAGAACACGTTCTTGATAGGATCATCTGCTTTCATTGCATATATTTAGGGTTAACCCAAGATACATGGCTGAGATGGAGCAAACATTGCAATGTATCCTGAACTGCCACATTGCTTCACAGTCACAGTCACTTGAGGTTCTCATTTAATGACCCATGCGGCCTTTGTTTAACAACCGCAACTGGGATTGCTGAAAGTGCTGTACCTAAGCCACATTGTCTGGTGACATAAATTGCTTAGTGATGATAATGCCAGTCCTAGTTGCTATTGTAACCTGAGGACTGTCTGCACAATATTGAAACCTTCTAACTCATAATCGTTATGGCTCTGTTGCCTGAGCCTGGGCTATCGACAGATGCAGACTCTGAGAGTGAGGAAGAGGAGTTGGCAAGGCCTCCCTCTCCAGGACCCTCCTCTCTGGCAATGTCTCCGGAGGACACTGAAGGCCAAAAGATAGGCTCAGAGCCAAGCACGTCCCCGCAGCCACAGGTGGACAGTGACGAAGGAGATAAGTGCTGGCTGGACCCTCGCCAGAGGCGCAGGGAGAAGCATGCGCAGCAGAGGGGAAGGCGTGCCAGAGATTAGCTGAGTCACTGGACCATACCCCACAGGGTATAAATGTGGGTGTGGTGGCCAGTTTGTGATGAGCAAAAACTAGAAATAATCCATGATCTCTGTGTTACTGGACTTTGCCTGCTTTATCAGACTGCATTTGGATTAATCCTTGTATTGTTGAAAACTCTGCCTGTTTTATTGGAATGCTGGCAGTCTAATCTTTGTTTTGTGTGAGTAAAGTCTGAATTGGCAGCTAGCCACTGGGTTGCTGCCAGCTTTATCATCAAACAGTTTTGTTGTGTGGTTTATTAACTCCGGGCTGTCTGTGGGGGTGCGTGAGTGGAACGGGGACAGAACAATAATATCAAAAGGTATTTTATAAACCCTACAATATTTTATCCATTTTTCTCACATATTGTAGAATACTATAGAATCCAAATACTGTAAGATAATGTTAAACATCATAATTTAAGCCTCAGAATATTTTTGCCATCTCAACTAATGGGAATACATTGACATAGTATATTGGGAATGTTTTATCTCTGTTTTTCCTATAGTATTACTTGTCTTTTTATTTACTGAATGAAAATTATGGAGTCTGATAATTTCTTAATATAATTTGCAGGGTCTTCCATAGAAGAAGATGCTAAAATCAATGCCCTTTTTCTATAGCAGTCCTCCAAAACCTAAACAGACTGAAAACAAAAATATGGCCAAAGCTTCAACATCTTCTGAATCAGATTCTGATTCATTGTCAATTGAATCATCCTCTGAAGAAGCCCATCCAAAAAACCACATGAGAACTGAGAACCACAAGCAGATTCCTCCCCTTGAATATTTTCCTCAATCACCTATAGAACTCACTGGAACAGACCATGATAAGGACAAGCAGAAGACAGGACTAAGAAAAATTGTTCGTTATTTATTTGACAGAGGTGGGAAAAGAAAAGAAAACAAACCTCAGGAGGAAAACCGTCAGCCGATTACAGGTACAGAATGATGATCATATGGAAGGACAGTCTGTCACTATATATTAGGGGTCTCCAAATTGCACTTTTAAGACTTGTGGACTTCACCTCTCAGAATTCCTCAGCCATCCAAGTTTGGAAGCCCCTGCTATATGTTGTAGTCCAGGTTGTAGATTTACAAGAAGAGTTGGCAAAGTAGGCATTAAGCACTCAAAGTATCCTAAGAGTCATCCACAGAATCTCAAAACTGAAAATGTTTTTAATTGAATGCTGAAATACAAAATTTCAAATGTGAATTGGCTGAAATTTCACTAGAATTAGCCATCTTGAAATTTTCAATCTTGTTTTATAAAATTATATCTGCTACCATGCAAGAAAATGGCATCTGAAGTAGTTAGTGGGCTTTGTGTAGACAAGAAGGGTCATGTAGACTATCATGTCCAATTTGATGCTTAATGCATGATATATGAACCTTTTTCACCCCCAAGGACTGACATGATCTACAAAAGAGAAGGGGCTTTCTTTTAATTAGAGAGAAAGAGAGAGATTCACCCATGATTCTTCATGAAGTGCTTGTGATAAGACTTACTTTTTGAATTCCTTCCCATAGAGATTTTCCTGACATTATTACTATCAATCTGCTTTTGATTATGTGCCATCAACTCAGAAGAAAATCTTATGATCACATCAATTTCCTCCATGATGATCAGTCCCTAACCTGATCCCTCAAGTCTTTCAAAAGTGCACTCATTGCTACTGGTTGTCCTTGTATTCTCTTTTCTTCTAGCCTTCTCAGCATTAGAGCCTTCAGTAGAGAGCTAGATCTTTATATAATGTGTCCAAAATAGAATAATTTAGCCTGGTCATTTGTGCCTCAAGTGAGAATTCTGTTCAGTGATCCATTTGTTCATTGTCTTGACTGTCCACTGGAATTCTCAGAAGTCTTTTTCCAACAACAGCCTTCAAAAGAGTCAATATTTGAATATCTTTTCCAAGGCATTCATGGCTGTTCTACCAGGTGCTAGTCTATAGCATATTTCATGGCTTCTTATTCCTTTACTTTTGATGGTCAATTCTAAAAGGCAAAAGCTATTTATCACTTCAATATCCTAATATTATCAGCTCTAAGGCTAGTAGTTACACCTGCTGGCACTCTTTTCGTCTTCTTTATATTCAATTTTAGTCCGATTTTTTCATTCTGTTCCTTGACCTGTATTATTAGAGTTTGTAGTTCCCTTGTATTTTCAACTATCAGATATCAGCACAATGCAGTATTGATGTTTCTTCCTCAAATTTTAAAACCATGGTAAGCTTCTTCCACTCCAGCTTCCCTTAATGTGTATGTTCAGCGTACAGGTTGAAAGACTAAGTCTCTGTGCTTCAGAACTCTTTGCATCACAGATTTATGATAAAATTGTGCTGATGTACACATTACTTATCATTATTCAGAGAAATGTCACAGGGCAACTGCTACTCATTGACACTTCAAAGAAGAACATTATTCCTCTGCCAGTGAACTCCTGATTTATTTTGATTACTATGAATCATAAAGGAGTTCTATAAAAACCCAAATGGATTTTGGGGTATCAGAAACAAAACTTTCTACCCGACTGAGACACAAACCACAATGTAATAGAAGTATATTGCAGTCAACTTTGCAGTGGTCAAAATGTTGAACTAGGTATCACTCCCAAATAACAGACAATACTTTTGTATCCATGGAATATAAATTCTTTGTAGTCAGACAGAGCAATTAAATGTATGTAAATTACATATTAATATAATTCTGCAAATGATCTTAATTGATTAAAATATTTTTATTAGATTCCTAACGTGCCTTTAATTCAAGAGCTATTGGCCCCATTTGTACAATAATGCAAATAATATAAATCTCTAGAAATTTGGGATTCAGTAGGCATCCAGAATAACAGTTATTTCCTGAATGATGCATTACATTTATTTTCAAAATGGACTGATCAGTTCAACAAAATAAGGTAACAGACCTTTCATTGACTAACAGTGAAAAATAAAGAACTAGCAAGATATAAGGCTCCTGGACCAGTATTTTGTCTGCTTATTTCAGTTTTTACTTGGAGAGAATTTGCATCCTTGAGGAGCATAAGTCCAAAATGATGCTAAAAGCTTATTAAGATCAAGAAACCCTGTGGGATTTCTTTTTCTTAGTTGAGATTCCATCAAGGTGAGCTCACACATGGTTTTCCATGGTTGAAGTAGTATAAGTTGGGGATGATCCCTTAACCACTCAGCTGTGAAGTACAAGACTTATCCCAACATAGCATACTCAGAAACTGTTTTTCCTCCTTTTTAAAATAAAAAATTGAAGTCCTGGAGAACAACTTTAGAGTTGACAGAGACCGATCTAAATTTCTTACCTCCTTGAAAAGGTAACTACATTTTTAGACTGAACTGCTCTGAGTAGACTTCACTTGAAATTGGGGGAATGTAACTTGAATGAATTAGTAACCTGTCAATCACGTGACATTGATTTCTACTTTGTTTTGCCAGTTGACCAAATCAAGAAGCTGATTAAGAGCCAAAATTTTTACGAAGCCAGTCAATATCTCATCATGCAAAAAAAATCCAACAGCAATCTGGACAGCAGAAATGATGAAGAAACATTGGGCAATCAGACTGAAATTGAGGACTTATTAGAACTTTTATATCAAGAGGTCTTCAACATCATACAGTCATCTATCAGCATAGCATCAACAGAACCAGAATTGCTGAATAATGCAGTGAGAGCAGTTATTATGTGGGTGGAGGAGGAGGAGGAGGAGGAGAGATCTATTCATTCCCAACTCAAAACATGGAAAGAGGAATGGAGGAACACTATCCAGAAATCTGTAGAAGAACGAATGAATGCACCTTCTTTGGTTTATAACAGGGACCTCTCTACCACTGGTAACACTTTCTTGCATATGGGTAAGACTATGAAGAATGACATGATCACAGTGGTGCAGCATATTAAAGGCCGTTACCCTGAGCATTTTCAGGTGTGCAACACTTATGCAAAGTTCTATCACCATTACTTTTCATCTCAGATGAAGATATTTGCTGAGTTTGAATTGAACAAAGATGACAATTACCTTCTTCTCAGCTGGGCACAAAATTTATATCCAAAGTAAGTAATGATTTATACTGTATCTGGTTTTTTCTGCAAGTCTTGCCAATTTAGACACCGATCAATTCCAGGCAAGGTATAATAAAACGTGTGCAATAGCAATAGCACTTAGACTTATATAATGCTTCACAGTGCTTTACACCCCTCTCTAAGTGGTTTACATTGTCAACATATTGCCCCTGTGATGATCCAGGACAAGGCACGAAGGCCATACAGCCAGCTGAGTATTCAAACTCCCCTTTAATGCTCCAAATTTCCCCCAAACATTCTTGGCAAGTCCCAGAGCAAAGTGCGTGCGCGCACACACAGAGACGCCTCTGGATGTGTGCAGTCCAACAAAGGAAAGGAACCAGGAAATGAGTCTACGGAGCAAGGAAGAAACAAGTCCTGCAAACTCCAGACATATGCAATGGCATACAAAATTTTACAAATTCAGTGTTTGTTCCTGACAAACATCCCTCCCCACAGCATCTCCTTAAATCTCAATCCCCAGGTGTGCCTTTTGAAGAGGGGCAGGGCGCTCTCCTCCAGAATATGGGAATTCTGTGGGTCGCCCTGTGCTGTTCCTGCCTTCTCTCCACTCTTCATACTCTGGGATTAGGACAGGGCGGTCTTGTTTATCACCTGAGCTCTCTCACTCCTCATTTCCACTCCTTGCCCTCTGTCAGTCATCCTGCCCCCGTTCCTCCCTGCTAACAAGCCATCCTAGTCCTGAGGGGCTCTGGGCTGCCTTGTTCTGCTCCTCTCCACATTCCTACAAAGCCACCCCACGATCTCCATCGGCTCAAGCTCCAGCTCGTCATCCTCCACAGAGTCAGGCTCCAACGGGGGCATGACAGCCCCCAACAATCTGTGTCCTCATTTTACCGACCTCAGAAGGATAAAAGGCTGAGTCAACCTTGAGCCATTGAGAATTGAATTGTTGGCACTCAGCAGAATTAGCTTGCAATACTGTATTCTAACCACTGCACCACCACGGCTGTTAATAAATATATAATAATAAAACAAAAGCAATATAATTATAAAAAATAAAAGGAAACAAAAGCGGATGGTGAATCTGATTAAGTATAATTACACATAATTTAGCAGTGGCCCAACCAACGTGACCATAAAGCCTAGGAGAACAATTAGGATATTAAGGCTTTCCAGAATGCCAGCAGGATGGAGACCACACAAATATCATAAGGAATCTCATTCCAGATGCAGGCATCACTCCAGGGAGATAGACTTCTGTGGTCCTCTTAGACGACATTGTTTAACTGAAGTGACTTGGAGTCCACCAAAGTTTATTGGATTGAATTAGTTAGTATGATATCATGGAAGATAAGCAGTCAGTCAAGTAATCAGGCCCTACGCAATATAGGGCTTCATAAGTCATACCAACTTGAATCACTCCAGAAACATACCAGTAACCAATAACCTCTTAATGTGGAAAGTAATTGGCCTTCAATTTTGAGATTCCTATTAAAAATGCAATTTCCTTAGGGGAAATTGTTTGCCGAAATGCACATTGGCAGGGAAATATGAAAATATGTTATTCTGAAAATGTTCACCATTTTTCATGCAAATTTTTAAGGAATGTTCAAACCAATACGAAAACTAACTATAAAAAAATCACGAATATTACAGAAGTTGAAGTCAACAAAATCTTCCATCCCTAGAAGATAATGCCGAGGTAGATAAACAAATAGTTTAAGCTGGTGTAAAGCAGCCCTATGTTGATCAGAATAGGCTTAAGAAAGCATCTTTCATTGTTACCTGTTCGGCTGTTATACAGTTTAACCTGTTCAATAATGGAGACAGCTAATGGGGATTATCAAGAAGTTTGGCTGCAGCATAAAAGGCAGTCTTGAAAATATCTAAATGTAAGCTGCCCTCAATTACCGTTTGAGGAAATAGAACACTGACCTGGTATGGATATTCAAAAGCAGTTTTCAATGAACTTTGAATAATTGTCCTCAGTTCTCCCCACTAATTCAACTCCTCCAGTGCTTTTTAGATTTCTTGCCGGTTGCAAGGTGGGTTCATCTAGCCTTCTTTTTAAAATGTTGTTTTAAATGCATTTCCCACTCCTGTTTGAGTAGCTTGGATTGTCACTATAAAGGTTGTCGGTATCAATTATTTTTTGAAGACTAGGAGTCTTTAAAAGTCAAATGTGAAATGTTGGTCATACAATATGGGTGGTTTTCACATTGGAATCCAAGCATTCTGTGGCAAAGAGCCTACTTTCACATCTGCTTTATATTGAGAGTTTTTGGGAAATTGAATCAAACAATAAGGGAAGAATATATTACCAACTGATGAGATACTTTTTGGCTATTTCAGGGACATTAAAAACAACAGTATTTTAGTTAAAGAGTTGGATGAAGCTAGTCTTGGAAACTTGTTGCCGTTGGGACGGATCAAACAGCTCGAACAAACTTACTTGACTCATGAAGTGGTAAGAATTCTGCTTATGTTTTACTCCATAGCTTTTCAAGTTAGTTATTATCTTCATGTAAGAATTTGTGCAATGTGTCACATTTGTTCTTCCATTGTAGATTCAACTTGTCACTTTTCACAGTGGTTGAGTTCTCACATCTCACCCATCTGAGGGTTCAAAAAAAAAATCAAGATAGCGGGTGCAACTTCATGATCAAAGCCCTGCTTTTTTTTTCCTAACACACAAGGAGTAAGCTTGGATTCTGTGTTCACACTTACCATGTTGGCTTTTGGGATTGCCCCACCCCCAGGCCCATGTACTGCAGCCATCGTTTTGTTTCTTTAGCTTTGATTTAATGTGGCATGTGAACAAAACCACTGTGGTTGTAAGCTACTTCTAATTTAATATTACACTTGAAACTAAACTACTGTCAACTTGCAAGTCTGAAAGTACAAATCTCGGCACTGTCTCTTTTTGCCACCTGATTAATTGGAGCAGATCCTTTCTAAGTTTATTTCTCTGCCCATTGCTCAGTTGTGGACTACTCCCCTTTTTATCTGATTGTTCCCTAAGCAGCATCTCTTCCCCTCTCCCATCTTTCAGGGTAATTCCCACATTCCATTACAGCTAATACAGGTTATTCAGTACTGCACTGCTAATACAATGGGGAAAAACTCCATCTTCACTATGTAATTCCTGTTTTGATACAATCATCGGGTTTTTTCTCACTGTTCTTGGGTAGTTTACAATTTGAAATGTAGATGCAAAGATTTTTCTGCTCCATGCAGTCCCACACTCAGCACTTGGCGTCCAATATACAGTACATGCCAGAACCCAGAATTGGATAATGTCTCCCTGGTGCTGATATCTGTCCTTCCGCTCACCTATCCCCAGAAGAACCTAATTAGGAAGCCAAGGGCTATTGCAGGAAAGTTCATATGTATTCCTAAATATTATAGGTGCTGCTATTACCAGAGAGGGTAACAACTCTTATAGGTGGAACTTTCCAGAAGACACTTCATTACGGATGGACCATTTTGGCTCTTTATTAGCTTTCATTCCACAGCCCCTACATAGCTCACTTGGATAGGCAAAGGCCTATTAAACTGAAGCCCAGCATTCAAAATCCTTGTTCGTTAGCTACTTTTTCACTTAGTGGAGGAATTGTAGCATAGTGTGCAGCAGAGTTGCTATTCAGTCATTTTAAGAGCACTTTAGATTTAAATATATGTGCATTTCTAGAGAGATAGCTGCTAATTATATATTTTGGTCTTCTTTTCTCACAAAGGATTTTGTTAGATGTTGTCTGGACAATTGTTTGAAAATAGAAGTCAAGAGCTGGACGCAAGGGGCAGAACCAGAGATATTGGATGATTATTATCATAGTGAATTATCAATAGATGCTATAAAGGTAAATAACAAATATTTTATATTTATGTATGTATTATGCAATCAACTCCTGAAAAATTGTTCCAGGACCTCAGCATTCCTGTGGAAAGATCCATAATTATAGATCTACCCTGCTAGTGGAAGCGCCTCAAGAAGGCATTCCTGGACATTCAGAGTAATCTTGGTTCCACTGGATCTTTTTTTCTTTTTTTCCCATCAGCCCATTCCCAGTTCTAGCACACTACTATAGTTGAATCTGGCAGAGTAATTTTCAACTAATTTCAGTGTGAGAATTAAAACGAAAATATATGCCAAGACAAAAAATGGAAAGCAAAACTACCATATTTTTCAGAGTATAAGACGCACCTTTTTCCCCCCCAAAAAGAGGGTGAAAATCGAGGTGCGTTTTATACTCTGAATGTAGCCCCACCCAGCTTCTCAAACGGAGGTTTCAGAGGCTGAAAAAAGCATCAGAAAAGAAGCTTCAGAAAAGAAGCCCCAAACAGAGCTTCAGAGGCTTTTTTTCTGAAGCGCTGTTTCGGAGGTTTTCAGAGGCAGGAAAAAAAGTTTTTTCTGAAACAGTGTTTCAGAAGTTTCAGAGGCAGGAAAAAAAGCAAAACAAAAAAGCAAGACACAGGGCTCACAACCAAGGAACCTGTTGCTAAAATTCACCTCTGGGAACAGCTGATTGGGGGTATTCCGGGAGGCCGATCCACCTGCCAATCAGCTTTTTTCTTATTTTCCTCCCCAAAAACTAAGGTGCGTCTTATACTCCAATAAATATGGTATTTTTGTTTCTACCCTGACTACAGCAAGTCAATAAAACTTTGAAATAATGGATGGCCTGATGTGAAACTTTCTAATCACTATTAAGGTCACTGGTACATTTGCAGTATTCCTACATTCAACTATTTCATTCCAGATCTTTGGGCTGTCTAATAAACTCTTAGATTGATTTATTTTTGAGAATTGTGCAAACAGAATCCAGATGTTCTTATCCATTGGTTTGATTAAGACCATTTTAAATCATTTTTTTCTATGATTTGAACCCGGTTTTTCTGACACACACATTCTCATATTCTCACACAATTACTACTACTACTCCCCAAAATAACACTACATAGACCTACAGACCCTGGGAAATCCCCTATCTATAACATTTCCCATTTTATGTCACAATGAAAATTAAAGATAGAAAACTAAAATAGATTTGGTCTGTTTTACTAGAGAAAAGCAAGCAAGTTTCACTAATACAATGAAGGTTTACTGACAAGAAATAGTTTTTTTAAATATTTGCATATATAGAATTTTATTTTAAAAAGTTCAAGCAAATTAACTGAAATGTATATTCCAGTTAAGGGACCAATGCTAACTAGACTCCCAATGAGATTAGTTGTAAATGCAGATACAGAAAGTAGAGAACCCAGGCTGAGATCAAAGGGTGGGGACATGCATCTGATGCTCAGCAGTGATGACATGCCCTCGGGATTCTTGTCCATAATAGTCTTCTTTTAACCCATTCATGTCTATCTTCCCAATCCCATCCTTTCTGATTTAGACTTTTTGATTGGCTCTTTACTTTGGCTGCTTTTTGCCTTTTTTCTTCCTAAAATGGTAATCTTGCAGCCCTACCTCCAGATTGCTCAGGTTTTGTGCTTACTCCAGGCAACCAAGAAATGTTTCAATAACACTGCAAGCTTCCTCCTCCTAAGATGTGATCTTCACACCTGCTTCCTGCTTTACCTCCATCTACAGATTCCGTAGAACTTCAACCAATTGGGATTTCCCCATTTTGCATCACCTGAGAGAGGAACAAACCACATCCTATTGCAACTTTTAACTTGGCAGGTTTAAAGAAACAAAGTTGCAGCTCCAAAATATGCTTTAAATATTAAACAATATGCATTAAAACATAGCAAACCAGTGCAAATTCCAAAAATTCAATTCCAGTTTCAAAGTTTCCCAACATCATACTCTTATTTTTGATTTGAAAGTGTGTTGACATACACCCTCAACATTCCTGATTATTGGAGCGGAGTCACAGAGTTCAGCTTATAACATAAGCAGGAAATACTTAATTACAGAACTGGGAAAGTTTGTCATTCTGGAATAGAAATGTTGAAACTGTCACAAACATCCTTAGGAATTTCCTGATTTCAGTCAGCCTGGAAAAGGAAGCTTGCAATACTAATCAGATGGGATTGGGCTGTGGAGGAATGGGTTGAAAAATATGGGCAAAAAGTAACATTTGAAGATCAAAAACAGAAGTTGTAATCTATTTTTTTCTGGAACTTATTTTATTATTTCATTTTCAAATGGTATGCATTTCTTTCTGTTCCTTGAGATTATCCCATTTTGCTTACTAATAAATCTTGGTATTCTGTGGGAGAGAATGTTTAAATTTATGATTATGTTTGTGGACTGGGAAAGTTATGTATTAAAAAGTTAAAAGTACTAATTCTTTGATTTTGGGGGGGATGGATGTTTTAGGCTATCTATGCAGCACAAACGCGTGCCGAGGGCATCACTCCAGAGGTGGGCCACCAAATGTCAGCTTTACTTTTGACAGAACTCTTGACTTTTCTGCAATGGTAAGATAGCAAATTGTTGGTAAAGTGATATCGTGGCATGCTTGGCTACCAGTGTAAAATTACTAATGATTGTTTTCATTTTTATTACCTCTCTAGCTACAAGAAAGTACTGGAGACATTCATTAAAGAAAATAAACAGAATAAATATTTTGAAGCGATAATAATTGCAAACATTAACAATTTCCAGAATTTCCGGTAAGAACAGAATCATAGTACTACAAATTTCTTACATAGTAGGGTTGTGCAAAATGTTTGAACCTTCTCATTTTTTTTTTCTTATCCATAATTTCTTTCACTGCATTTACCCCAAGCATTCTTCTTCATATTTCTCATTAGCATATAACTACACATTTCCATAGCAGTTTATAATGTAATTCTTTCATTACCTTCCAAGCCACTTCATCATTCCTACCCTTTTACATCCATTTTCCAACCATTTTCTTAGGAGATTCATCTTATACTTTTTCCAAATAGGATTTACAATCATTGTACTTTCTCTCTAGTTTCTTTCATTTTCCCTCCTTTTCATCCATGTCCATTTTCCCCCAAAACATACCTTGTTATTTTCAGAAAATTGTCTATCAAACAATCTGGTCTCATCCATGTATCCTTTACATGGATTCTTTTAGTCATTCATCATAAACAATCAAATCAGGATTTATGATTCATTTTTCCAGGTGTACATGTATGAATACATTTAAACCATTTATTCAGAATAAAAAGATTTGTTTCTAAGCAGATATTATTCTTATTCATTTTTGTGTCTCCAAAAGGCCAAATGTTTTTTTCTAAATGCTCTCATTTGGTTTTCACTATGTATTCATGTTGTCCATCAGAATAATTATTTCCTCCTGGATCACATCTGTACAAACTGTTGCATAATGTGTAATTCTTCCAGGATACCATTCGGTGAAGGGTAACATGAAATGTCACCCACAGATATATCTACTTTTATACATACTCATAATAACCTAAATGAAAGTATGTAATGCTTTATTATAGCCCTTTATAATAATTTTTATTTATTTATCAAATTTATTTGTTGCCCATTTCTAAATCTAGGAGACTCTGAGCAGCTTACATCAAGATAAAACAAACGTTCAATGATTATAAATAAAAATGGATTCAAATTACAGAAGTTAAGATGAGCTAAAAAACAAAGAGTTTGAAGGGGAGAGGTGGGATGCCTTCTCTGTTAGTGTTCCAACCACCTCCAGCCAGCAGCTTCTCCTTCAGGACCTCATACCAGTCAGCATGGCCAGATTTTAAGGCTTTTCCTGAGGAGGCTGATCTTACTTTCTGAGGTATAATGTTCTAAAGCAGGGGTGTCAAACGCACGTCATCATGGCGTCACATGACTTATTGGGACTTTTTTTCCCTTTGTTAAACCAGAGGTGAGCATGCATCCAGCCCACGGGCTAGGAGTTTGACAGCCTTGTTCTAAAGGTTAGGAATATTGGCAAAAAAGAGGCTCTTCTCCTGGATCCCACCAGCCAAAATTCCTTGGCTTATGGGACCCATATTAGGTCCATTCTGCCAGCACGAGTGGGGTGGGCCAATCCCATTGGGGATAGACAGTTCTGCAGATATCCTGGACCTATGCCATAAAGGACTTTAAAGGTAATAACCAACATCTTGAATTATACCTGCAAGCAAATTAGCAGCGAATGCAACTTTTGTAACACTGGTGTTACATGTGCCTCCCTAGGGGGAGCTCCAGAACTATCCACGCCTCTGCCTTCTGGATCAATTGTAGATTCTGAATGTTCTTCAAGGGTAGTCCCAATTAGACCTAGAGTTTCACTTCTCCGCATATATTCATCAACTCCACTCCGCATACTGTGTCTGCTTTCATTCAGACATTTTTCCCATTTCTTTTCACAGACAATTTACCTGTATTTTTTTTTCTTTTGTTAATACATCCTTTTTAATATTTAATCCTTTTATATTCCAAGTTGCAATCTTCTGTGTACCACAGTCATCATCAAATGGAGGGAGAGGGAGAGGGAGGGAGGGAGGGATTTATGCTGCCCATTACACAGTTGGTCAATTCAATCTTTCATATGACATTTTTTAGTAAAACAGGAGAAGGTATAATAGCAATAGCACTTAGACTTATATACTGCTTTATAGTGCTTTACAGCCCTCTCTAAGTGGTTTACAGAGTCAGCAAATTGCCCCCAACAATTTAGGTCCTCATTTTACCCACCTCGGAAGGATGGAAGACTGAGTCAACCTTGAGCCTGATGAGATTTGAACTGCCAAATTGTCAGCAGAAGTAACCCGCAGTACTATACTCTAACCACTACACCACCCAATATCACTTTGTTGCTGCTGAATTGTGGTCTTGATTTTGCAGCTCAGATCTTATAGCCAAAAGTCAGGATTTGGAAAGCTTCAAATACCCACTTGTTATGCATGTCTTCATTTAACGCTAAAAGGAAGGTATCCTTCAAGTTGAGCTTCAATTACAATGACTTCATGGCCTCATCTGTTTTTTACAGCAATATGGAAGTGGTTTCCATTGTTCTAGTCTGGATTTTATTTTAATTTGCCAGTCAACTTGTGCTGCAATCCTGATATTCCCTGGAGGTCTGCTCTCAAAGTTCTAACTTGACCCAATTTTGCTTAGCTTCCAAGCACAGACATTAGCTAGATGCTGCTTCCTTTTGAGACTGAATACTAAACAGCTGCAATATATGCAGACTTTTATCCAGAGTTGCCTGGAGTTGGGTGGCATCTAAATTGAATAGATTACATTAGTATTAGCAACCATTATGATTATTGCTGCTGTTATTTTTCTGATTTGTTATATATACTTTTTTGGTTAAGATTTGCGTAGCATTGTATTCACTAGATTTTGTAAGCTGTTATAAGCAAAAAGAACTGAAGTTTTAAAATAGCTGAAGAACAAGGCCTTTAATTCATTGTTAATTGGATTTTCAGGACCCATACGGAGAAAAGCACAGATTCAACTGCGAGTGATGTTAAAAGGAACATCTTTTCCATACTTGATGACCTTCAGACGACTGGGTTTAATGTATTCCTTGATCCCTTGTTTCCAGAGATACAGGTATTCTTACAGATATATACTACAAAGCTACTTACCCAGCTCACTCAAGATCCTTTGCTGCCTGAGGCAAAGCATAAGATGAAACCTAAACCTTCTCCATTCAGTGAAGGTGAATGAATGACTTTCTCTGGAGTTCTAAGGATGGAAAAACACCTTCATCCTACTATACTGCGAAAAGCAAACTACGTTTTTTGATAGTTTTTTCTTCTACTGGAAGGCAACAGCAGGGGGAGGGTGGGTGGGCATGGATTAAGAAGAATAGCCACAAGTCTGTCAGCCTCCCAGAAAACTACCCATTCCCTGATGAAATAATTATCCTTGCCCTTTAATCTTCAGTGGAAAAATAGTGTCTCCCAGGAAAACATTTTTAGAAAGTGAACAATGTTAAACAAATCCATAACCATCTTAAGAATGTCTGGGAAAAGTTGCATAAAAATGCTTATAATAAAATAAATTATAATGAACTAGAATAGAATAGAATAGAATAGAATAGAATAGAATAGAATAGAATATCTTTATTGGCCAAGCGTGATTGGACATACAAGGAATTTGTCTTTGGTGCATATGCTCTCAGTGTACATAAAAAGTCAAGATACATTTGTCAAGAGTCAAGGTACAACATTTAATGATAGTCATAGGGTACAAATAAGCAATCAGGAAACAATATCAATATAAATCGTAAGGATACAAGCAATGAAGTTAGTCATGCAGTCTTAAGTGGGAGGAGATGGATGATAGGAACTGTGAGAAGACTAATAGTAATGCAGCCTTAGTGAATAGTTCAACAGTTTGAGGGAATTATTTGTTTAGCAGAGCAATGGTGTTCGGGGAAAAACTGTTCTTGTGTCTAGTTGTTCTGGTGTGCAGTGCTCTATAGCGTCGTTTTGAGAGTAGGAGTTGAAACAGTTTATGTCCAGGTTGCGAGGGGTCTGTAAATATTTTCACAGCCCTCTTTTTGACTCGTGCAGTATACAGGTCCTCAATGGAAGGCAGGTTGGTAGCAATTGTTTTTTCTGCAGTTCAAATTATCCTCTGAAGTCTGTGTCTGTCTTGTTGGGTTGCAGAACCAAACCAGACAGTTATAGAGATGCAGATGACAGACTCAATAATTCCTCTGTACAACTGTATCAGCAGCTCCTTGGGCAGTTTGACCTTCCTGAAAGAACATTCTTTGTTGTGCTTTTTTGATGACGTTTTTGATGTTAGGTGTCCATTAAGGGAGCAATGGAGCCCACTGAGCTATGAAAGAGAAAGGACAGTGAAAGTTTCTTCGTTTATAATTTTTCCCCCAGTCATGTTTAAACTAGCAGAATTAGTTGCTGCTTGAAAAATACCTAATCAAGTTTTTCCTCAAAGAAGGGGGATTTATGGGAATTTCTTTTCAAAAAACTGAAAAAAATTTAAAATTTGTTCCTCAGACGCTTTTGAAAAAGTTTAATGAGAAGAAATGGGATTCCTGCAGTGGTCTTATGGATGAAATAATTACAGCCATGGATGCCCGTATCCGTGTGTTCAAGAAGCTTAAAAACCCTCATCGCCAGGTGAGCTAATGCAAGGAACTGCAAGTGCAAACATTTTTATATTTTCAAAATTTAATACTAAGAATGAAGTAAGCCAATTCATGCAACCTAAACCTTGAGGAAGACAAATAAGAGTTAAATGTGGGTTTTTTTAAAATCACTTTTCATGATGTGCATGTGTATTTCCATCATTATCTGTTTCCCTTTTTAAAAATGTTTTACATGGCTTTGAAACGGTCATATTGTGCGAGGATCAGTTGTTAAGTCATTTTTTTTCAGTGCCGCTGTAACTTTGAATGCTCACTAAATGAATGGTTGTAAGTTGAGGATTTCCTGTAATACGTAGCCCCAAGAGATGTTATTTCAAGGAAATACACAAAAAATGTTTTCTTAGCATTCGTCTAGAGCACCTCTCCCCAGGCCATAGAAACTATTTTGGTCTTAAGAGAAACCAATTATGTACATGTTGATGGCATTTTTATAACTCTGTATATAACACAGTAGAATTTGTTTTCTCCCCGTAACTGATCTAAGAAAATTAACCTCTGCTTCTTCTATTATAGGTTATCATGGAAAGAATTCACCTCCATCTAGTCCAAAAATACATTCAAAAGCTTATGTGCAGAAACACCACACTCAAATCTCCTGAGAAGCAAAATCAATTGTCTGAACTTATCCAAAGTCATGCCTCTACTTTGTACACATTTTGCACAGAGAATGTAAGTCTGCATCTTCAGTCCTGTAATACCAGTCTGGATGCCTTGTTGACCTTGGGGCATCCAGTAATGTTCACTTTAGAGTGAAAAGACTTTGTTGTTTAACAAATAGATGATCTGGAGAAACAGATAACAGGCTTAAACTCAGGTAGCCAACTAGCACCTACGCTGTGAAGTCATATTTTGGCAGTAAAGGGGACAGGCAGACTTGAATCTTTGGTAAGCCTACTCTCATCTCTTTCCAACCTAAATCCAGGGGTGAAATCCAGCAGGTTCTGACAGGTTTTGGAGAACCGGTAGCAGAAATTTTGAGCAGTTTGGAGAACCAGCAAATACCACCTCTGGCTGGCCCCAGAGTGGGGTGGGAATGGGGATTTTGCAGTATCCTTCCCCTAGAGTGGGGTGGGAATGAGGATTTTGCAGTATCCTTCCCCTGCCATGCCCACCAAGCCACACCACGTCAACCAGAACCGGTAGTAAAAAAATTTGGATTTCACCACTGCCTAAATTCCACGATCTTCTGAAAAGTTCCTGCTAGATTAAGAACTGTACACCGGTTCAGTTCAGAGTACATGCTTTGCATACAGACATTCTCTACTCCTGAGCAGGACATTAAAAGCTATCAGTCAGTGTATAAAAGCTACTGGTCAGTGTAGATCCATGTTTTAGATTGTTTTAATTGCATGTTTCAAGTCCAATACTCTTGACTGTTAAAGAGGCTGTTCTAAAGAGTAATAAGGAAATACATAGAAGCATCAGGGAGACTATGTACAAAGTACTGCTATCCGCTCCCCTAAGTTAGGGGAGGTTCTACCACTTTGTATCCAATGATTATTTTTGGAACAGGAGCAAGAAATTAGGGAAATACACCTTTTGTTCTTGTTGTTGCTGCTGCTGCTGTTACCTGTTTTATTCATTAAACATGAACATTTAAAAATGTAACACAAATATTGACTGGCGCTATTGGTTGGTACAGGTTGCTGCCAGCATCCTAGGTATCAACCAAGTATCTTCTTAAAATGTACAATGTTCCGAGTAGCGCAGTTTTTTGCAGTTCCGCTGGTGTTATTGCAGGAAGTTGCAATTTCTTGATCTATTCTGTAAAATTCTTGGACCTAGTACCAAGTGCCCCAATGACAATGGGTATCACTGTTACATGTTTCATCCATAATCGCGTAGTTTCGATGGCCAGGTCATGATATTTATTCTTCTTCATCATCATCATCATCATCATCATCATTATTATTATTATTATTATTATTATTATCATCTCTTATTATTATCTCTTTTATTATTATCTATTATTATTATTATCTATTATTATTATCAATACTATCATACTATCATACTATCATAGTCAAGTTACATCATTGGAGAGGGTGCTGCTGAAATTTTCAGTACCACCTACCCCAATTTCAGAAATTTGGTTGTTTATTGAAGCAAAATGTTTGTGCTTCACCTATTCAATGTTCGAAGTATATGTCCTTGCTTTTACAGATAATCCTTGACTTGCCACCATTCATTTAGTGACTTTTAAAGCTACAGCAGTACTGAAAAAAGTGACTTATGACTGATTTTCACACTTATGACCATTGTAGCATCCCCATGGTCACATGATCAACGTTTGGGCGCTTGGCAACTGGCATGTACTTATGACAGATGCAGTGTCCCGGTCATGTGATTACCATTTGTAACCTTCCCAACTGACTTCTGAGAAGCAAAGTCAATGGGGCAAGTAGATTCACTTAACAACCATATGATTCACAACAACTACAGTGATGTGACTCATTTAACAACTGTCTTGCTTAGCAATGGAATTTGGGGACTCAATTGTGATCATAAGTCGAGGATTACCTGTACTTCTAGAAGAAAAAGTGTACTTCTATTTTTTTTAATATAAACTTTATTGAAAGTTTTTAAAAGAATATAACAACACAAACTAATAAATAATTAAAAAAACAAAAACAGACAGAAAAGAACAAAGACAAAGGTACAGAAAGAAAAGATAAAAAGAAATAGAAAGAAGACGCTTCCAACTTTCTTTGCAGCAAATAAAAGAAGTATGATTACAAAATTATCTCTCACTATATAAAAAGTGTATTTTATTTTTCAGTGAGGCTGCAAAAAAAAAAGTTGGGGGCATGCAGGCTTTCGTTTGCCCATCTCCTATTTTCAGCATTATTTCGAAGTATATGGATGAGAGAATTTATAATTGGTAGGAATTTGCTGAGTGAAATATTTAAACAGTCTATTTTATTTTGTTAGGGGTCTAATGCCACATGGCTGGAGTCTGCTATCCCAAGCTTGGCTGAAATCATCAGACTCCAAGATCCAGATGCTATTAAGGTTGAAGTCAGTGCACTTGTCAGTAAATATCCTGATATCAGGTAAGGGGGAAAAGTCTTATGAATTTGCTTTTAAGGACTAACCCAATAACAATTGATTCCTCTGATTTTTTGCCACTAACACCACCAATCTACACTAGAATGGGCAATTTGTGCATTTCCCACCATCCCATTTGAAACCACAGAATCCCAATTTTGCATCCCTCAAAGTTGTCTATGGAGATTCTCAACCACCCAGGTCATAGTTTTATTTTATTTATTTATTTTATTAAAATTTATATGCCGCCCTTTTCCCGAAGAACTGGGGGCGGCTCACAACAGTAAAATCACAATAAAACAGCAATAATAAATAAGATTAAAAGATTCAATTAAAATCCCACAATTAATTAAAACTCCCAAAACAGAATCAGACAATTTGCTTAAAAAGCCATGTCTTCAGGTCTTTGCGGAAGGAATGGAGATCAGGGGCTGTCCGGAGCCCGGTGGATAACTCGTTCCAGAGGGTCGGTGTCCCAAAGTTGTCCCAAAGGTGCATTTTTTTCCAAAAGGCAACTGGACGTTCTTGGGTTTTTGTTTAAAAAAACATTTTGCTTCTCATCCAGAACTGAAGAAGCTTCTTGGATGAAAAGGGAAATGTTTTCAAAGGAAAAAACAACAACAAAGTCCAATTGCCTTTTGGGGGGCGGGGGGGGAGTCCCTTTGGGATCCCTCAGAATTCCCTCTAAATGCAGTTTCCAAAAGCCAGGCAACATAATTTCTTGAAATCGCAAAAGGTTTTGAGAACTAGTTGCACTAATTGTATACTGCATCTAAACCTCTTTAAATTTAAGTGAAAAATGAACATTTCCACTGCACTGATTTGAGCCACGCTTATTGTATCTTTGGTGGCTCCTAGGCAGGACATAAGCAGAAAAAAAAGATTAGATTCTCCTGCAATTATCCTATGAAATATATATCAAAATTTGCTGCAGTTGGATGGTATACAAGTAGCTCTTGACTTACGATCGGTTGCTTAGCAACTGTTCGAAGTTACAACCTACTTAAAAAAGAGGACTTACAATCCGGATTTGAGGTTCCAATTGTCATTCCACCCCCACCCACGCCCACATTTATGGCCATTTGCAGCCTCTAACAATCGGATGACCACATTTTATAGCGGTTTTGCTGAAAACCAGCACTTCTGGCTTTTGACAAAATCTTACCTTAACCTTTTTGGGTTTTTGTCCCTTTAAATTCCTCTTGCATCCTCTTTTTCTCCCCCCATACCCGTTAGCCGCTATTTTTATGCTGGGGGTTCCAAGTTTAAAAATAATTCTTTTTGTTGTTACTTCGCCTGTTGATTGGCTGTTACTCACCCGGCTTCAAAAACTTCATTGCATTCACCGCTCCTGCTCAATACTTAGTCTGGTTGCCCCAGCTCCTTGACAGCCGCAATGGCTGCTGCCCCCGCTGCCGAATCGGAGAGAGATTCCTCTGACCTTCAAGGAACTTGCCTGTTCTTCCGAGGTGCCTCTTCTTCCCCATCCCTCCAGGATGGTTCTGGTCCGAAGACCCCTCGGCAGCGGTTCGTCAGTCTGGGTTTTCGCGGTGCTCATCAGAGCCCACTAATTCCCCACATTCGCTTAACCACCACCACAAATAACAAATGAAAAATCATTTAATTTTACATTACATTGTAAAAACGAATGTAAAAACAGATCTGTCACTAACCTGTTTTACAACCGTTAGGATTTACAGTAACCATAATGGTGAATCATACTCTCAAATGAAGGCATCAATACTTCTCAGTTAATTTCTCAGTTAATTTCTCAGTTCACTAATTTCTATTAGTTCCCATGTATAATGAATAACAATAGAATGAGAAATGCAGCTTCTATCCTGAAAAAAACAAGCAGCACTCCACGAGAAATATTTGTTGCTGAGCAGCTTCCTTTTTCATTTTTTCCTGTGCTATTTTTGTGGCTGAAAGGGGCACGTTGAAGCGTGTTTCCATTTGCTTTGAATATCTGTTGTTGTCCTTTATAAATAGTTTGTTTTTCTCTTCCATTCAGTTATGCTACTTCTCAGTTTTCTTGGCACAGTTTTTCAGAAGTAGTTTGCCATTACCTCCTTCCTATAGCTGACAGAAAAAAAACTGACCCAACCTAGGTAGTTTTGTGTCTAAGGTGGGACTAGAACTCACAATCTCCCAGTTTCTAACCTGCTGCCTTAACCACTACACCACACCAGTCTGGCTCCTTATAACTGTACACAAAGCTGAAATGACTACTTCTCATCTCAACTCGCCATTTTTCTCTCCACGTTGCTCTGTCATTCTTCATGCTTTGTTTTTTTTCTTTTCCAATACAGACGGAGACATCTCTATGCCATCTTGCACATTAAGCCCTTATCCAGTAGCAACCTTAACAGCATTTTGACTGTGCTAAACATTCGTGGAGATGCCACATTGCCATCATCATTGCTATTTTCAGGCATTAGGCTGCCATTTCCACTACCTTGATTTGAACTACGCATATGGTACCTTTTGTAACTTTCTAGGCAGGATCGAAGCAGAAAGAAAAGTTGGATTCTTCTTGAACTATCCTATGCAATATATATATCAAAATTTGCTGCCGTTGGATGGTATACAGGTAGTCCTTGACCTATGACCGGTTTTTCAGAAGTAATTTGCACCGCCTCCTTCCTACAGCTGAAAGAAAAAGACTGATTCAAGATCATCTAGATAGCTTTGCACCTATGTTGGGACTAGAACTCACTGTCTCCCAGTTTCTAACCTGATGCCTTAACCACTATACCAATCTGGCTCCTTATAACTGCATGCAAAGCTAAAAATTTCTCATTTCATCTCGCCATTTTTCTTGCTACTTTACTCTGTCATTTCTCACCCTGTTTTTTTCTCTTTCCGATACAGAAAGAAACATCTCTGTGCCATCTTGAACATTAAGTCCTTACCCAAAGCCACGGTTAAAAGCATTATGAGCGTGCTAGAAATTCATGGAGATGCCACACTGCCATAATTATCACTGTTTTCAGGTGTCAGGGTACCATTTAAATAACTGGGATAGTTTCCATTTATGGAAAAAAATGTATTTAATGAAGTCCTACTGCTGGCATAATTGTATAACTCAATACTCAACCCTGGAAAAAACAGTGAAGTTTAGATGGAATGTCACACCCAATAACAGTTAGTCCTCAGTTTTTGACCATAATTGGGACCAGATTTTCTGTTGCTAAACAAGGCAGTGGTTAAGTGAGTCACATCGGAGTTTATGACTTTTTTTGCCACAATTATCAAGTAAATCACTCCAGTTGTTAATTTGGCTCCCCCCATTGACTTTGCTTGTGGGAAATTGTCTAGAAAGGTTGAAACTGACAATTCAAGTGACCATGGGATGCTGCAACCATTATAAATAAATGCTGTCTGTCAAATGCCTGAATTTTGATCATGTGACCATGGGGATGCAGCAACAGTTGTTTTCAGTGCCATTGTAGCTTCAAATAGTCGCTAAACAAATGGCTGTAAGTTGAGGACTACCTTTATATAAATCATCTTGCAGGAAGCATCCAGTACCTTCATGCTGACTCATTTTCCCCTATAAAACTAGGGGCTATATCTCCTGCAAGCTACTATATACAGGTGGTACATATAGGACATTCAGAGATTGTTTCATTTTTCTGCTATTTGTTAAAGCATTTGCCTGGAAGAACATATGTTTTGCATGTGATTTCTGTGGGACAGATGGAGTTAAGAGAACAAAGACCTTTGTGAAATTACAGAGGATACAGAATGAAAAGAGCACTTTAGGCACAGCCTTCGTTAAGAAACAAAATCCAGTTAAAGCTCTCTCACATTAAACAAATGACCATATGGAAATCAAATGTAAATCGAGCTTTGCCTATTAGCCTATCGTTATAAAAAGGCAGTTTTAACTCAGCGTTTTGTTTACAGCTCCTGAGATAAGAGCTAGTGTGGTGCAGCATCACAGAACTGACTAGAGCAGAGGTGTCAAACTCAAGGCCTGTGGGCTGGATTTGGCCCTCAGGGTGCTTAGATCTGGCCCAGAGGGCTGCTCTGGAAATAGCGAAGGACCAGCTCATGGTGCCTTTGTAGTGAAAATGGGCTCCTGAGCTCCGTTTTCGGCTGGGATGGCCACCTGCAATCCTCTGCCAGTGAAAACGAAGTTCGGGAGGGCCGCATGTGGAGATTGGGAGCCTGTTTTCGCTGGCAGCGCACTCGAGCCACCACAGGCACCCCCGACATCAAGCTGGCCACGCCCACCCTGGCCATGTCCACAAGGGCACACACAACCCTGATGCAGCCCTCAATGAAATCTAGTTTGAGATCTCTGGACAAGAGGCTGCATTCAGAATCTTACTCGGCTATATAAAACGCAGTAGGTGATTTGGAGCTATTCATTCTCTCCCTGCTTCACTTACCTCACAAGGTTGTTGTAATGAAATAAACAAATGAACACTGTGCCTCGAATGGCAGAAAGACATTACTAATGGTCCTCGTTTTATGATAATTGAGCCCTAAATTTATATGTTGCTCAGTGAGAAATTTGTTAAAAGTGCGTTTTGCTCCATTTTAAACTTTTCTTGCCGCCTTTGTTAAGTGAATCACTGTAGTTGTTAAATTAATAACACAGTCATTACGTGAATCTGGTTTCCCCATTGACTTTGTCAGAATGTTGCAAAAGGTGATCACACGACCCCGGGACACGGCAACCATCATAAATGTGAGTCAGTTGTCAAGCATCCAAATGTAAATCATGTAACCATGAGGATGCTGCAATGGTCATAAGTGTGAAAAGTGGTCATAAGTCACTTTTTTCAGTGCTGTTGTAACTAAGCTTGTTGTAACAGTTACTAAGCAAACTGTTGTAAGTCAAAGACTACCTGTTTATACATATTAATAATATCTGTACATAATCGTTGTGAATACAAACCTGTTGCTGTGTATAGTGTGCTTTATTTTTAACTATAACATTGTTTTTCTAATTAAGATATATTTCTACGTATTTTTTCTATGTATTTGTTCTTAGTATTTTTCAAATATGCATTAAAATGTAATTATTATCAGATAGCTCGTGTTCGTCCCTTCTCCAGAACATAGGCATATACAACTGTAGTCAAAAGAGCAGGTTTAAAAGCAAGGGGATAGATGCTGGTGCTCCATAAGAAAGAACCTCCATGGGAATACATTTTTATTAAGTTATAAAGTAGTATAAAATACAAAAACAAATAAGAGAACAGTGAGGAGAAAGGGAAAGGGGGAAAGAAAAGTGAGGAAAGATAGGGGAAGAAAGAAAAAGAAACATTGACTTCCGACTCTCTCTGTTACAGTAGAATAGGAATGTCAAACTCAATTTCATTGAGGGCCACATCAGGGTTGTGTTTGACCTCTGGGGGCCAAGGTGGGCATGGCCAGCTCGACATCACTTGTGTCAGGAGTGCCTGTGGTGGCCTGAGCGCTCTGACAGCGAAAACAGGCTCCCAAGCTTCTGCAACCCTCTGCCAGTGAAAATGGAGCTCGGGAGGGCCGCATGCGGCCTTCCTGAGTTCGATTTTCACTGGCAGAAGCACTGTGGGCCGGTCTTTCACTGTTTCCAGGGTGGCCCCATGGGCCAGATCTGTCCCCCGGGCCTTGAGTTTGACATCCCTGCAGTAGAATAAGGCGTTAACAACAGATCACAACTTTTTGTTTTACCATAATAGTATGAATCAATCATTTCTATAAAGATCTATCAATCTAATTTGGGTAAAACCCAAAATCAAAGTTTCATTCTAAGAACATCCATGTAGCTATTGTAGATTCTATCAGCGGTCTCATCATGGATACTTCATATTCTGGAATTGGGATGGTAAGAGAAAAAAACTGAAACAAACAGAGTGAGAAGTCTGGGCTCACAAAAAGAACAGGGCTTAGATTTCCCAAACAATTTTTATATCTTATATTATATTTTTATACTATAGGAAATAGACTGAGGACTGCATTTTCTTTCCAAGGACATAGCAGATCACAGAATACGTTTGAAGCATTTGTGCTCTCCTTTTTACAAGTAAAACACGTTCCTCTGTTTACCATCACAAACCATCAAAATTTTAAGTCAGTATTTTTCTCAAAACGTTATCCTAAATTAAGGTCTTATGGATTTTTTATTACAATTCACACAGGTCTTAGCATGCTCTATTGATCTCAGTTGGCTTAATTTTGCCCTTCTTGGGGCAATATTATGAATTACCATCAAAGTTTTCTCCAAACAGCAGACAAAAATAAAATCAATGTATGAATATGTTTATAATCCATGCACAATTTTGTATTTGCTTGTCAGACTGTTGAAAATGGATGAATATCAAGGAAGATTAGATGCAATTATTAAAGGAAAAAATAATTGTACTGAACTGTGTTCGATGTAATCTCAACATTCTAGGTGGTCATCCTTATTAATAATAAAATATCTTCATAGCTAATAGATTTGATTTAGGTTCATTGCTTGATGGAGTCTAAAAACACATATATTCACTCTAGAACCATGATGGCGAACCTATGGCACAACCTAGAGCCCTCTCTGTGGGCACGCACACCATTGCCATCTACTCTTCCAGGTTCCATCGCGCATGTGCACCGGCCAGCTGCTCTCTTCTGGGTTCCAGTGCTCCGGCACGCACTCCAGTTTTGGCACTTGGTGCCGAAAAAGTTACCCATCATTGCTCTAGAAACAATCAATTTATTACAGTCTTAGACCAGAGACCAGAACAAATTAAAACATTCAGTAAACATACAATTAAAAATTCTAGTATAAAATAATATATAACAACTAAAATCTATAATAAAATCCAGTCTGTCAATTATACATGGTCTAACTATACCACATTTACAATCCATAAACTATGTGGCCCGTTGTAGGTTCAACGCTAAAAGGGAAAGGATTAAGGAGTGCGAAGGGTTTGCCATATTTGTTATATAACATAACTATGGTGGAGAAGACACGCGTTTGTGATGAATCCCCAGTGCTGCTGCGCAGAATCTGGCCACCTGCGCATGGACTGTTCATCCTTAAGCAGCCACTGAAGATAGGTAATGTCAGAACATTACCCAGGATACTTAGCAGTTATTGGTAGAATATGTTTTTTCCTAATCTCCAACTAAAGGGAACATCTAAGGAGCATGTGACCCACAGTCTCCACCTTTCCTGACCCACAGGAACAGAGTCTTTCCATCAATAGTATCCTTTTATACTTGCTGTACAGGATGGCCAATAGATACATGGCACCGTGCGAGCGAAAATGCTTTCTGGTGGTTTGCTGACTCCAACTGGCATCTGGAGCAGAAACAGTGAAACTTTTCCTAAATCTGCCTGCCTCTCAATGTCCTCCACCCTTTATCGCAAGGTTTGTCTTGCTAGTCCATCTTGAGTATTGAAGCTGGGGAGAAGCCTAGTTTGGCAAGGTTGGACTTGAAAGTCTTGATCCATGACAAAGAAAATTTGTCTTGGAGGATTAATGGAGCAAGCCCTTGCAGAAAGAAGTTAAGCTTTAGCCAGAGATTTAAGGACGCTATACAGATTCTTGCTTCGACTTCTGTCAATCCTGTCTCCAGGTGCAGAAGTGCATTTGAGACACAACGCTGCATCTGGAGAATTGATCTAATGAATTTGGATTGAACTATTTATAATGGTGTAAAACACAAAGCTGACAGTCTGAGCAAGGTCCCATAAAGGAGCTGTGCTAGCGACTTGGCCAGAAAAAGTTTAATTGCAGCAGGGACATAATATCCTCCCTTAGTGAAGAAACTCTAGAAACTAATAATTTCCCCAAAATTATTCGAGCCTTACGCAACCTAGCATTTTATGAACATGTTGGGACAGCACGTGGATAATATCAGTTATAATCCCAGCATGTTAGGACAGCACCAAATTGGTGAAACTCAATTAGAACTCTCTTGTTATAATTTTGTAAGATTTATAACTAAATGGTTCAGAAATTGTGAAATCCTAGGCTACTGAGCTTGCTTAGCTGCTGAGCCAGGTCAAGATATAAAATGGAATTTGGATACAGAAGTTAGTTTTGCCAAATATTTCCACCGTTTACATTTTTAAATGGCATAAAAATTAACATTTTCTTTAAAACTACTTTGAAATACATTGCTATAGTTTAAAATAACCCAGAGTACAGAAAACTATAGGAAGAAAAGGGTTGAAAGTAATAGAGGATGTAGAACCAGCTCTGTGATGGGCCAGGATGAAGCAGCTTGCTTCAAAGAAGAGTTCTTTGGCTCTGTTTTTGAATCTGAAATGCCTTAGGTAGAGCATACGAAGGTAGTTCTTATATTTGGTCCAATACATCAAAGTTTGAACCAGGTTTTTAAATATACTTTCAATGTAATTAATTCTTTTTTAAAAATCATTTCCTGATATTTTAGGACCTATGTAGCTGCTGAGGTATCTTAACAATGAAATCCAGTACAAAATTAACTTCATTGAAGAGTCAGTCAGTCAAATATTTATGACAGCCAAAAGAGCAGCACAATTAAAAATGGTCACGAGTATCTAATTTGAAAATCTAGAATAAAACAACAAATAAAATCTATGTTGAAGTCATCATTGGCAGCCTATCAGTTGAATGTAAGAGCACAGCCTAAGCTATAATGTAATATTAGTCCTTAAATTGTGAAGGCCTATGGTTCTTAGTTACTAAAGTATAACAGAGTGATAATATCAAAAGATTTACTGCATTATTTGTTTCAAATGATTATAATGGATTATTCATTGGGTTCCAGCGAATCTTTAGTGCTGCTGCACAGAATCTAATTAGCTGTATTGTAACTAGGATCTGTTCATCTTTAAGCAACCATTGAACTGTCACAATGGCCAAGATAACCTATTAATTATCTGGAAAATAAATTTTGTTCAAATGACACTATAAAAAAATAGCAACAAAGAAGCATTATTGTGCCAATCAGAAGTTTTCACCTCTCCGGAATCACAAGGATTTGAAAAGAAGAGAAAAATCTGAAAAAAAGTTAATAAAATTAGAATAAAATGACAGATAAAATATATACAGGTGATGGAATGAACATCTATCTAAACTAAAGACTTTAATCATCACACAAGACATCACCAAAGAGGGGGTGTTAATCTGAATCCTTGAGATTTTCACCATTGGATGTAGCCGCTGAGAAGGCCGTTTCCTTCTACCAATCATTTCCCTGCAGAAGTTGGAGGTTCCCCAATGAAACTTGAAGGAAGTTGACGAGGGATGATAATGGATGACAAAATAATGCTGGCACAAAAAAAATATGCCACGACAAGATATCCTAAGCAAGAGATTACTCTTCCCTTTAGTCACCTCCTTGCCTTTTTCCCTTGGGCAATATCCATGCAGAACTTGGAAACATAAATCAGCTGCGTTTGCAGTTTGTCTCCTTGCTCCTCTACAAGATCAAATTCTTAGCATACCCAAATAAATTGGCATTCACAAGAAGGAAGAAAGTAACAGCAGCAGTAGCATTACCAGAGCTAGTTATGATGATAACGTCAGCAGTTATGCTAAATCCCAGTTAAGGTAATATATGTTTTGAAGGAAATGTTTGCATGTTTACATGGCAGATATGCCAGTTTGTCTAGTAGTACGTGCTCCTGTTGTAATATCATTTCGTATGTGGTTAACAGTCCATGGATAGTGTAGCTCTTTTACTATAAAATATCAGATGGACCATGAGCTTGTTTTTGTCAATTGTTGCTTCAATAAAAATATTTTGGGAACCACAGACTGAAAAGTACAGCTGTAGAAGAAACTAGCACTATTGGATCAAATCTCATTTATGTAACTGAGCTAGGATTGACTAATGCACGCCAGATTCTAATACAGCAGAACATGAGAAGAATGTGAACTTTCTAAAGAACAACTGAATTTTCCAAAAGACTCATGAGAAGAATATAATAGAAAAAAGGATGGAATGACCTTACTTGCACCAAAAAATAGAAAATATTGTTCCTGGAGAATGTCTACATACCTCACTACAATAATGGAGACTCTGTACTGTAAATGACTCTAGACATGCTGAAAAAGTAAAGTACTTTGATAAAACATGGTCAAGATTGTCAAGATCCTGTCTAAGAGTATTTGGATACTCATAAAGCAATTATCTCCGATCTGGCATCCTCTAGTTGTGTCAAACAATTTCCAGAATTCCCTAATACTGTAACCTTTGGAATTTTAGTTGCAAGACTGCTGGAAGAAGATTAGTTTAAAGATACCATAGAACAGGGATGTAAAACTTGCGGCCTGCAGGCCAGATGTGTCACGCGCTGGTCACGCCCACCCCCCGATTTAGCAAAGGGGGAAAATTCATGATATATCACGTGACGCTGCCATGATGAGTTTGACACCCCTACCATAGAATAAGAGTCCCACCCACTCACTCTATTCCATTAACACTCTACAAATCTGGTAAAAACCACTAGAATGACTTGAGATTGTTTTTGCCCATCACACTATCCAAAGTGGTAGCTTTACTGCAATCCCACAGAACAAGCTAAATCAATTATTACACTAACAATAGCTGCTATAGTATAGTGATTAGAATTTTGGATGGCAGGCTCAAGTTCAAGTCCATTCTCAGCAATGGAAGTTTACTGCTGATTTGGGCCATTTTCTTTTTCAGCCCAATCTATTCCATGGGGATTTTGTTGTGGGGAAAAAATGCAATACTATATATGCTAACTTGAGTTCTTGAAGAAAAGATTGATTATAAAGCTAACAAATTTTAATCAACACCCATGTAAGTAGATTTCAAGTCTTCCAGATTGCCACTTTAGAGTACCATTCATTCAGAAGATTTTTTTCTAGTCTGAAAGAGTATGCTAGGTCATAGGTAGCATTCTCAAGTGATTCTGTGTTGTCCTACCTATCATAAAATAGGAAGGATTCTTGTAGGCTATCCATCCCAACATTCTGCTCAATGAAGAAAGCCTAAATTAAGTTGCATATACATCTGCATATATAGATATTTATCGGACCTTGTTAACTAGGAAGAATAGAATTGTAATTCAAGTCATCTATAAGACTGTGATTTATAATGTTGAACTGCAGTTCATAGACATACATCCTAAATCAGGAACAGGCAATCTGTTGTTCTATTGTTTGGCAGTTTAGTTCCCAGTAGCTTCTGCCAGCATGGCCAATTATTCTCCAAAAATAGCTGGAAGGCACTATTAATATTTACAATGCATGGAAATGTTTTATAGGGCTTGTTGCAACAAATGAAAACGCCACCCCTCTGGAAGCAATAGTCATCATTTGTCAAACCCAACATTGCTTATTAATCACTTGGTTGTTTAAAAAAAAAGCAAGAACTACTGTACACCTTAGCAATAGGAAAAAAAGTGGGCAAGCTATTTTCAAGAGAGACAAGTCCAAAAGACCAAATGTACTGCTTCCACTTGCCAAATCATTATAAACTCCTTCCT